CAGTGAAACGTAATGCGTCGGATCATGCTCTAGAATTCCCGAAAGCTACCGACGCGGTTGAAAGTGCATTCTACGTCGACGATTGCCTTGCAGGTGCTGACTCAATCGACGAAGCCATTGATCTGCACCATCAACTTCTCAATCTGTTTACCAAAGGTGGCTTCCTACTACGCAAATGGAGTTCCAGTGACCCTGCTGTGCTGCGTCACATATCTCCAGAACTTCGGGATGCTCAGTCGACGCATCACATACCTAGCCCCGAAGAGTACACAAAAACTCTCGGCATAGAATGGAACGCCAACCTGGATCACTTTCGTCTAACAGTCGCCTCATTACAAGACATCGACAATGTCACCAAACGGGCCTTGATCTCCGACATAGCCAAGACCTTTGACGCACTTGGCTGGTTTTCACCTACCATCATCAAAGCCAGATCATGTTGCAACGACTGTGGGAATCAAGGATCGGATGGGACGATTTGTTGCCCCCTGCCATCTACCAGTCGTGGCTCCGATGGAGATCCGAACTACCTCTGCTGTCCGAAAGACACATTTCACGTTGTTTACTACTCCAAGGATGCCACTGTCGACTCCATGCAACTTCATGGATTTTGTGACGCCTCAGAAGACGCATATGCGGGTGTCGTGTACATTCGTGTCCAGGATGGAGGTGGAACGTACACATCTCGTTGGTCGTCTCAAAGACCAAAGTAGCTCCTATCAAACGGTTGCACGATACCACGACTCGAACTCTGCGGCGCTCAGCTACTTGCAAAGCTCCTACACCACACCATGCAAGCCTTGGACATCCCAACTCAGAGTGTCTACGCGTGGACCGACAGTACGATAGTCCTCAGCTGGCTGATTGGGAACCCGCGCAAATTCAAGACCTTTGTTGGCAATCGTGTATCGAACATCGTGCAACTCGTTCCACCTGACCGCTGAGTCACGTCGACAGTCCTGACAATCCAGCCGACTGTGCTTGTCGAGGTCTGTTCCCTTCGGAACTGGTCCAACATGAATTGTGGTGGAACTCTCCCAATTGGCTGAAACTAACCCCACCTATTGGCCAACTTGGTCACCCACTACGTCGTCAGATCGCCTGGTGAAGAGAAAGGATATTTGTCTGCATGCAGTGACGATCATTCCCTTGGACTCAATCCTCTCTCACTCCTACACCTGAAACGTGTTACGGCATGGATTCTGCGATTCATCAACATTGTTGTCACAAGAAACAAGACAAGTCCCTCTTACCTGTCGACTGCGGAGCTGATTGAAGCAGAAACCTATTGGCCTCTTACTTCACACAACAAGCCTTCCTGAGGAATCGATGCTCTGAAACTGCGATTCATCACTGTCCAATCCAGCCCTTTATTCTCTCTACATCCCTTTGTTGACTCCTCTGGGTTACTCCGTGTTGGTGGTCGGGGACGGAATACGGAGATGTCGTACTCAATCATTCACCCGATCATACTCCCTGGGAAACATCCAATAACTTCACTAATCGTTTCATCAGAACATCGACGACTGATGCACGCTGGACCCACACTACTCGCAGCGTCACTCAACCGACGATACTACATCACCGGCTGCAGGAAGATTGTGCGTTCGATCACCCATGGTTGCATAACTTGCCGACGCACTACGGCCAAACCCAAGCCTCAAGTTCTCGGACAGTTACCCGTTGAACGCGTTACTCCTGATTCCGTGTTTGACCGTGTCGGACTCGACTATGCAGGACCATTCACCATAAAGTATGGATCTACCCGCAAACCCACTCTTGTCAAAGCTTATGTGTGTATTTTCGTCTCACTCGCCATCAAAGCTGTTCACTTGGAGCTGGTATCAGACCTCACAACTGATGCATTCATTGCCGCTCTACGCAGATTCATTGCTCGCCGAGGCAAGCCCTCGCTTATATGGAGTGATCATGGCACAAATTTCGTTGGTACAGTGCGTGAGCTGAAGGAGTTCATCGCATTCTTCCAAAACTAGAGAACACAAGGCCTCATCTCAGAGTTTTGTGCCATCCAGAGATCACCTAGAAGTTCATTCCAGCTGACCTTTGAAGGGTTCGCGACAATTCTCGCACAAATTGAAGCCTGCCTGAACAGCCGACCTTTGGTACCGCTTCCCTGTGAGGGTGATGTCATCGAACCTCTGACTCCTGGCTATTTTCTCATCGGAAGACCCCTCGAAGCCCTTCCCGATCCATCTGCATCTTACCAATCAATTTCTCTTCTGCGACGATGGCATCTTTGCCAACACATCACTCGCCATTTCTGGAAGAGGTGGTCTACAGAGTACATCAATATCATCCGTAGGTACGTGAAGTGGCACAACCCGTCGTGAAACATGCAAGTTGGAGATCTCGTGCTTTTGCAAGAGGACAATCTAGTACCAACAAAGTGGCCCCTGGGACGAATTGTTGAAACACACCCAAGAAAAGACGGATTTGTACGCGGCGTTGTCACTGTCCAAACGAGTAATGGAACTTACAAGCGTCAAATAACCAAGATTGCGTTGCTACTCCCTAATGAAAACTGAACTATTATTTTCATCATCTCCCACTAACTCTCATTTTTCGTTACTTCTCACGAACACTATTACTGATTGTATTTGCGTCTCACGTTGTCATTTGAAGACCATCCGGTCTTGGCCGTATGTTCGATCTTTGTATCATGCAATACGCATTTCAATTTTTCTGTAATACATAAAATTAGAGTGAGTAAGAAATGTCAGTCATTATGGCGTGCGAAACTAGCGCTGGCTCCCTGACTCGACTCGAAATCCGCTCGCATCCGGGATGGAACTCTAACATACGTTGAATCTTACTTTTCCTTTGAGGAGTGGGTTATTAGCCCTCACCTGCGCACATGCGCAGCGAGGGTTATTGCAGTTGGTCTGTGTGTGTGTGTGTTGGGTATTGGGGGAAGAAAAGGAAGATAGTCCTAGAGTGTGGGAGGCGTGTGCCAACCTCACCGCGTGTGACTGCCTAGTGGTCCAAAGTGTATGCATCATTAACTGTTGACTCACTTCTACTCTACTTGGGACCATATATTAGGCAATACTGAGCTAATATTCTACTTTATGATTTGTGAGGGCACCTAGGTTATGGGAGTAATAGGGAACATGGAGAGCAAGGTATATACTAATGTTAGAGCAGAACAGTATGTGTGTGTATATACCACATATACACGCACAAGAGTAGGACATGGATGCCCAGCCTTGAGAACTGGGGACGGTGGGTTAAAGATCTTTGATGGCTAGCCAACTCTCCCCACACATCCAATGTCACAGACTCTCTCGTGCAAAATCTACAGCTTACAGTACTGTATTGAAGCACATACCTTAGGCTCTCTGGGGGACTTGCAATCCACTAATGCACAGTGGGGTATTTATAGGAAGTTGTGATGTCATAGGTATGGAATTTCCTAAGGGGGAAGTGGGCTTGTTCCTGAGTGATGTATTTACTCTAGTGATACTCACAAGTGTAAAAATGGTGTGTGTGTGTGTGTGTGTTGTGTGATGGTGAAGGAAGGAAAATAAGGAGAAAGAAGGTAAGAGAGTAACAGGGTTGGGAGGGCTTTTGTCCACATTACCTGGGTGGCAACCCAGTGTCCCTGCAATCCTAGCCTTGAGGCGCCGCCACATAGCAACCACGCATGCGTTCGTGAGTTGTAACATACATTATGCAACATTATTTGGCCGGTCATCAGGGAAGTACCTATTTCCGTCATTGTATGACAACGGGTTTCGGTCCCTTTAACTTTCCGACCCGAGGTCAACTCTGGAACAGGCGGGACCACTCCCCAGCAAGGAGTCAGGCATAAAATGTATACTTACGTTAGTGTCTATGTTTTATATATACTGTATATCTCGCTCACCTTTTCCTCTCTTGATCTTCTCTCTGTCTTGTAACTAAGCAGCTTACTAGTATAGTCTAGCTAGTTATGAATATTAATAAGTAGTGGTTTGGCACAGGATGTGGATACTATTGTGACAGCTGATTGTTGAGATATACATATTAATGTGTGTGTGTGTGTGTGTGTGTGTCCGTCGTCTTCTCTGCACCAGTCAACAGCTCTTACTTCTCGAGCGAGCTACACATAAGAGTGCACACTGCTTACTCTACATACCTCCTTGGAAAGGAGCCAAGTGGTTGATCAATCACACCGAAACTACGTTCTACGATCGTCTCCGACTGCGCTTTTTAGTCGAGTCAGCGGGACGGCTTCAGCCACGCCTCCAGCCTAGCCTGCGGTGGTGGTGTGCATGCGCAAAGCTACACATCCACCTTTGCATTAAACATGGCTGACTCATTTTATCTACGATAAAGAGATTCTTCCTCAAGGTTACACCCTGTATCAGAGCCTTCATTTGACTCGTTTGACTCTTCCACTGCCTCCACCGACAGTGAGAAGGTCCTCCTGTTCAACAAGTTTGTCCACTTAGTTTTTACGCTGAGCGCCTACCAAATTCCTCCTCTGCACGAGTCAGCATCACCCACCCCTACTCTATCTGATATTGGAATCTCTGAATTCAATGTGTTTGATACATCTAAAGCCATTGGAACCAACGGTATCTGTCCAAAATCTGAGAATTTCAATCCTGTAGCGTGTATTTAGAAATACGTAAAGCATTACAATAGAGACATACGCAACACTGGAGAATAATTATAATAGTGACATGTTAGTGAACATGTTTATGATATATGACATGTCATCTTCTGTTGTGCAGCGCAGAAAATGACATGTTTCTTTTCACATTTCCTGCAGGACATCCTTACGACTCGCCACATGTTTTATAGTATGCTATAGTTAAGTACATGTCATATTCATTATGACAGTACATGTAGACAATTGGTCATGTTTCAGCTGTAGCAGGACACACTGTACTAATGATCTATCACATGTCATTCACATTTAGTTCCAGCTTAAAATTTAAAGGATTGATCATGTTTTATCCTAATTTTCTCCAATAGTTATACTCGATGAAAATCACATAGTAACATGTCGCCAATGAATGGTTAGGTGATTACAGACTCATAACAGTAACAAAACAGCCTGAAAACAATACCAAATCGATAAGATATAGTAATGTAAAAATGGGTAAATGTGAAAGCCTGAGCAAAGTCATAGTTAGTTGTTGCACATTGCATCAACAGACTGCTTCCCTTCACTGCTGTGAGTGGTGGGGGACGTTGTGGATTTCCTTACACTGGCCATGTCCCCATAGGTGGCAGCCTTTGCTGAGTGAAGTAACGACTACAGTTTGCGCAAACTCTTTCTTGTGTGATAAAAATTATACAATTCCTTGATGATTACAAGCACTTGATATTCACCATGAAGAGGATACAAAGAGAAACATAATGCTTATGCACTACTCATACACTGAAAACAAAAGGTCTCCTCCTGATTTTCTCAACTACACGTGAGGTACTTGCTGCATTTCAACAATGCCTGGCGATGGATTGTGTTGATGTTGCTACATAGAGAAAAGAGTGGGAGGATAGCTGTAATACATAGACAAAGTTGGTCCCTATGGTCCCTACTTTATCATCAGCCAGTTTTCACTTTTGATGTGGGCGGGCAGGCAGTCATTAATGTGTGTTAAAAATGCATGTGTGTGTGCATGATGAAACAATGTCTTCTAAGGTGCATGGGTAACTTGGTTTGGTACACTTCCACGAGCAATGCTGATGGTAATATTATGAAACAAGTTAATCTAGTTTGTTTGGCCTATTATCATAGACTGTTTGATAAAATACAGTAGGTTATTCAGCCTCACTGTTCTTCTGGAGGAGATATCGGGTCTGGTTGATCTCCAGTAATAAAACCATCCTATGGATGCAAACGTGCTCCCCACACCACAGAGGAAAAGAAACAGCAGTGGTGGAAGGGTTGTGATGAGGAATAAAATGACAAGGTAATCTACAAAGGAGCATACATTATGTGTCAATACGACCAGCTTTTTGGAGCTCACCATCCCCACTGCAGTGACCCGCTGAAATGAAACAAATGAAAGATAAAATGTTTTTTCGCTCCAAATAGTAAACAATTTTCCCAGTAGCTAAAGGAGATCATATAGTTTAGTAATAAAATAAGCTACCGGGTTTTACAGCGGCCTAAAACTGGAGTCACTGTTACGTCCTCGCTTCGCGCGGAAAACCTTCAGGAGTACGTGCAGGGAAAAGTCTGTAACGAGCCGCAAGCAACTGACCGTGATAACTGACGCAACGGCGGTCGTGGGTCGAGTAGGAAACTCACGGTAGCGTATCCAAATAGAAAGGTAAACCACCAATACAACAGAGGCCAGAGGTCGAGAGCGTCAGCCTTACGTGTCGTCTAATCTCGGCACAGCCACCAAGACACGCAGAGACCGTCCGGTGTGTGTGTGGGTGTGTGCACTGCTATCCCCACCTCTCGTCGGACAACCAACCTCTGTCGCATGCGCGCGTCGCATAAAGAATGCAATTATCAGCTCCCGTTCGTCTGCTTCTCCAATGAATAAACCCTACTAGTTGGATAGTCCTGGTGTCCCTGGTGTAATGCCAGGTGTCTCTCTATTCAACAGTCTCCTCTCTTCTTTTGGTATCAGCAGATGACGATGTGCTCTTCTGAGTCCGTCATCTTCATCATCTTCAGCGATCTCTCTCACATCACGTCCTGTTGACTGAGCCATAGAGTGGGCGCTGTGAGTCTGAGAGGTTGCTTCAGGTGGTGTGGGGTGACATGACACTTAAAATCCCCACGAGTCAGCATATTAGGCCACAGCATCAGGAATCCTTGCAGTGGCGATCTAGTCCTGCCTGGACCCAAGAGTGTATAGAGCCAACAGACAAAATAATGTGCAGACTTAGTTCACCTCAAAAGGCGAAAAGCAGCAAATAATGTGTAGATGGCCAGTCATAAGCTTGTGTGATCGTCCTTTGTCCATAAGAATAGTTTGTATGTATCGTGTGATGACTATCACAATCCCGACTATTCCAATAATGTAGGCTGCATGAGTTAGAGTAGCATTGTGATTACAGTGCGATACATCTCATTCACTAACTGTAATTCAGTAACAAAGTATATGGAGATGAAGAGGCAACACCCATCTTTTTGATCATATTGTCCTTCAAGAACCATAGCCTGGGTGTGGCCTCAATGCAGCAGCAGCAATGTTCCTCCTCCTGTGGAGATACATTCCCACTCAAATATAAATGACGGAGTGATTCATTCTGCAAACTTATGTTTGTAACCTTGTCTGAGTCTCATACGTTTGATGTGATGGAGGACTTTGCAGTAGCTCAGTGCCATTGAAAGGAACACAACGGCAAAGTTGACCGCAAGGAGAGCAGAGTAAGAAGCTACATAATAATGAAGGTGGTGCAAATAGTGATTCCTGTCCTGGTGGTAAGAATCAATATTAGAATTATAATGCCTCCTACCATTATTACAGTTACACTAAACTGTAGTATTGGTATCATAGCCCAGTGCAGGTCGTGGGAGAACATTTCCATAGAAGGGCAGACACCTGAAACATAAAACAGCTGACGAAGGGACATAATAAAACTGAAAGAAGGCAATACCAGCATGAGTAAATCTCTGCTTCTGAGACTAATCTAAACTTGACAGAGAGTATGCCGAAAGATGTCAGTAACAGTAAACCCGGCAGACTCCTGTGGGAATACTGAAAAGCATGCTGCTAAGTGTGGAATGGTAAATACACAGCTATGCAGTAGGCGGTGAATGAGCACTGAGGTGGCCAAACATGGACGTACGTCTGACTACCCTGCACAACCTAGATAAGGGAATAACGTAAGTCGGCAGTTAAAGCTTGAGTTCTTGTTAGTGCGGGCACAGCAATACAAAATCGGAGTGTTGTCGTATCATACTGTATTATTTAAAAATTACTTACATAATATGCCCCACTGAAATCTTTCTGTCAGATACTGGAGTAGGGCAGAAGGGCATAGATTAGGGTCACATTCATTGAAACACATTGGAGTATCTATAGTAAAGGTACATTATAGATTTTTACATAACAAAAATCCACAATGTGGGAGTGAGTTTAGGCAATAAACGTTGGTGTATAGAAAGTCATAGCTAAACGAAAAGGTAAACAGAGCAACATTTCCCGAAAAACAAGTTCAAAACTATCATCCCAAGCCTGTTTTTCATGACTATATTATAATGGGGTCTCTATTAAGGCAAAGGCAAAGCAAACTATTCATACACTCAGTGAGTAGCTATAACTAAATATACCACAGTTAGAAGATTGATGATAAAGCAGCCAATGCGAGAGATCTCAAAACTTTTCTCCAGCCACACCACAGAGCCTGTTATCCACATGACACTCAGCATTGTGTCCACAATGGACAAGATGAATATTGGGTGCACCTACGGTAAACAAATGTAAGATTTTATATATAATTATGTCTTTAGAAAAATATGCACCTTTGGATTGCATGCTGTTCTTCTGCGGATGGCTGAATATACGATTGAGAATGCCCCCATGATGCTGTAAAGTGTATACTAGAGTATGAACGTGTAGCTAAAGTGTACACCGAGCGTTTCTTGCCTCATAGACGCCATGATGATCCTCAGTATTGCCACAACTTCAAATCGTCCTTTCTGCGTAAACAACCCTGTTAGCTAACAATGATCATGGCTATATAGATCTATACAGCTATATAATATATACGTACCTGTTCTGTACTCATGCCGCAATGACTGCTGCAGTTTGGAGAGCCTTAATCGTTGACGAAGTGCATGATTTTCGTACTCAGTGCTGTAGCGCAAGCGCTTTGCTGCGTGACTCCTAGCGCGCGTCGTTTTCAAGGGGCTAAACCACAAAGCAAACTGTTGTGATAGCGCGCATCCGGGTCAGTATTCTCACGTGATCTGCGCCTTCTTGCGAGGCTAGTGCTTTTGCGTAGCAGTATTGAAAAATCTAAAGCTATATATAGTAGCAGAGCAAATCCAAAAAGGCAAAGTCTCCATATGGCGTCCTGGAGTGCTATTATAACTACTTTATTTTTTTCGTTGGTTGCCCCAAGTCAGTGCCACTAAGATCTGTGTTTTTATTTTCTCTTTCTTCCTCTCCTTGCTGTTCCATTAGGGGAGGAGGGGCAAGACATGGGCATTTGTTTTTGAAGGAAGAGCCCACCACCTGTTAAGAGGTTGCCTATCGATCGACCCACTTGCATTTCTCTTCCTAGTTTCTTCAGCTCATCTACAACTTCTGTCTTGACCTTGTCCATGATGTTCTGGAAGGAGTCGTTTTGCTCACGGAGAGCTCGGACAAGCTTGGGCATCCACACACTTCCTTTGCCAGTGAATGCTTGTGCTCTGGAACAGTGGCAGTCTCAAGCCACCAGTTTTCCTCAGTGTGTAACTAACCTTTATCAGTGACGAGACCCTCCGATTGTCAGACTGGCTAGCTGCCCCAACTCCACCCTCTTCCACAGGAAATTGATCATATTTATGATAACAAATCTGCAGCAGAGGAAAGATGCCTCCGAAGAAGAGATGTACGTTTGGAGCAATGCTGCGTCTGCTTTCAAGCTATAGTGAAAGGCAAAAACGAGTCACTGCACTAGGGGGGTGCAAGCAGTGGCTCCACCGCTACTGTGCGGTTGTTCCTGCCAAGGTCAACAAGACGCACCTAAAGATCTGCTCGCCTGGACGAAGGCGTAAAAAGGCTATCTTTGTTCTATCCAAGGCTGACCAGTCAAACACCATCAAGGATATTTAACACCTTGGCAGGTTCACTCCTGAAAACAGGAAGTCTACACCCCTTCTATTGAAGTTTACTTGAGTAGCTGGTGCTGCTAGGGTCCTGTCAAAGACAGGATCATTGCAAGTTGCTCATGCTATCATCAAGCCTGACATGTTTCCCCGACGAGAGAAGGATTGAATCTCTACAGTCTGGTGTGCCACTTGAATCTATCAAAATTCGTGGTCATCGCTTATTCATCAGGAACAAGCTCCACGGGCAAGTCACAATGTCTGGCTCCAATATCTTGTTCTGTCGTCACACGTCATGTTCTGTTGCTGAAAAAACCTCTGTTGTTACCTCACCAGTCACACTGAATGACATTGGTTGTCCCACCAACGGTTAAGATCATTCCTCATGGAGCACCCACGTCTCATCCTGTTTCTGATGCTCCTCAGTCATCTCCCTCCCCAGTGTCCGATCAATGACTATATAAGGACCTCTCTCTGTCCAAAGTCACGCAGTCTCGTCAACAAATTTCTCTAGATTCCAATGTAGCTACTCATCCACCTTTGATGTGATTTGCATTACAAAAACATGGCTGACTAATTTTATCTACGATAAAGAGATTCTTCCTAAAGTTTACACCCTGTATCGTAAGAACAGAGTGACTCGTGGAGGTGGTGTCCTCATAGCAGTGAACATGCGACTCTCTATATACTTGGAACTGATTTCAGCTCCTGCTTCCTATTAGTTTTGTCTTTCATAAAGTACACCATTCTTCATGCTATATAATATGTGGATTTGTTTGATCACAAAAGTACGAGTCAAATTCTCACCCAATCCCAAATGGTTTAATCCTGCAATTTGTCACACAATCAAATGCCTGCGCACACATCGGAGGAAATATCAGTTGCATCCAACTCCTCACAATCTTTCTAAACTTCAACCTCTTCTATCTACTAAAGGATCAACCTTCCAGAGCAAAATTGCATTGACCAAGATTTAGCCATGGACCATCCCAAAAAGTACATCAGAAGTCTCACCTCAGCTCCTCCAGTGCCTCTAATTGTCTCCTCTGACTCTTCAACTGCCTCCACCGACAGTGAGAAGGTCCTCCTGTTCAACAAGTTTGTCCACTCAGTTTTTACGCTGAGTGCCTACCAATTTCATCCTCTGCACGAGTCAGCATCACCAACCTCTGATATTGGAATCTCTGAATCCGATGTGTTTGAAGCCTTGTGTTCACTAGATACTTCTAAAGCCATTGGAACCTGACGGTATTGGTCCAAAATGTCCTTCATCACTGTGCACTTGCTCTCTACAAACTTCTCCATCACTAATTCCTCCTTAGTCTTTCCTACTCCAAACATTCCTGCAGAATGGCGTACGCACGTGATCATTCCGGTCTTCAAGTCTGGTGACAAATCATCTGTTCATAACTACCGTCCAATGACAAAATAATCCACTTTATTTCTACCTCTATTTCTTTATCCCAGTTTGGGTTCCGCCCTAATTACTCCACAACTCAGCAACTACTGACATTCCTCAATTCCATCCAGGACACTTTAAACGAACTGCTAGCTAATGGACTTTCGGAATAACTGGTAATCTGTGCTTACTTTTCACATCGATCTTAACATGTATTTCTGACCATCTTGTAGTAATTTTCTGGTGTGCCTCAAGGCGGTAGTCTCGGCCCCCTTATCTTGATCTCCCTTCCTCCTCTAAATATTCAAATGTTTTTTTCTCTTTGCGGATGATACAAAATGCCTGAAGAAAACCTCACATGTCTCCCTTGACTCCCTTATCTCCCTTGTCTCCTTTGACTCCCTTGTCTCCCTTGTCTCCCTTTACTCCCCTGTCTCCCCTGTCTCCTTTGTCTCCTTTGACTCCCATGTCTCCCTTGTCTCCCCTGTCTCCCCTGTCTCCCCTGTCTCCTTTGTCTCCTTTGACTCCCCTGTCTCCCTTGTCTCCCCTGTCTCTCATGTCTACCTTTATTTCTTGCCTTCTCTCTCTGTCATCTTGGATTCTACCAACTGCATGGTTAACCAATGGCATTGTCTAACTCGTTTTCTCCCCTGTTTCCCATATTGGGTCCAGATGTTGGTTTCTAACTTCCTGCATTATCGTCTATTACTGTGCAAAATATGTGTATGCTCCTCTGGCAGATTCAGTGTAGTTTCTTGATGTCTATATTATTAATGTCAAACACGAGTGTGTATGGCGTGGCCATGGTTGAGCAATAACCTTGAACATCTTCTTGTAATAGTAACCAAAGGCCTTATAGCCTACGGCTTATCACGTTGTCTCTCTCTCTATCTCATCTATCACTTGCACTCAGGTGCATGCGCAACTCTTGATACCACCACAAGCAGACACCATGTTCCTGAAGATGAGTCGCTCAAGAAATGCAGGGCATGTGCCATCCTAGCAACTTGAACGACGAAGATTGGAAGAAGGTACTGGGTCCGTCAGGCACCAAAGAACACAGCGAATGCTTCCGAATGGCCGAGAGTTCTCTCACTTGCTAAGTTGATCGAGCCATTAATTGTTTATGCAGCGTGTAAAAATTTAGAAATTGAGAGCGTGTGGATGAAGGTTCGAGGTGGGAGAGGGAGGGAAGCATTGTATGTGTGTTGCATTTACATGCTTACAGATAGTGCTTGTGCTTCTGTCATTGAGGATAGTTACATCAAGTTGAAGGAGGATGTGCTTGGGTTCATGCAGAAGGGGAGGGTTGTTCTTCTTGGTGATTTTAATGCGAGGGTGGGTAGATCTACTGATGTTGATGATGTCATTGGGATGTTTGGGGAGGAGACTTGTAATGCCAGTGGAAATAGGCTGATTTCATTCTTGAATGAGGTGGAGCATGGTGATATGTAATGGTAGGAAGTTAGTGTCGGAGCCTGAGTGGACTAGAGTAAGGCCGAGCCTGCAGCAGAAATCAGTGATAGATTATATAGTTACGGATATGCAGTTGATGAGGAAATCTGGTGATGTACAGGTTAATATAACTGATATTGGTGCCTCAGATCATTTTCTAGTGTGGCTGGAGTTGGGCCGGGTTACGAACTGTTGTAAAAGGCAGAAGCCGACAATAAGGAAGTGGCGTGTAGACAGATTTTTGGATGAGAGGGTTAGAGCGAAGTATAGGGAGGCCTTGAAAGCGGAGGTTGAATCTTTTTCAGAGAGCATCAGGGAGAAAGTGAGTGAGGGTATTAGTGGAAGTGGGTTAGTAAGTGCAGTTGTAGAGGAGTGGGAGCAAGTTGTAAAAAAAGTGGCAAAGGTTGAGGTAGGAGAGAAGGTAGTAGTGTGTGGCAGGGCAGTCAGGTGGTGGGATGACGAGATTAAGCAGAAGATAGAGCAGAGAAGGGAGGCTTACAAGAAAATTCTTGAGGGTCAGGATTATCTATGGGAGGAATATAGTAAACTGCGTAGGGAGGTGAAGAATTTAGTTGTTCAGAAGAAGCTTGAGGTTTGGAACGAGGTAGTGGAAAGAGCAAATTTAGATTTTGAAGGTAATAGGAAAGAATTTTGGGCATTTGTTGGTAGAAGGACAAAGGGTAAGAGGAGGGGGATTACAGCTTTGAGGAATAGTGCTGGGGTGTCAGTGACTAGTACAAAGGGCAAGTTAGAGGTGTTAAAGAGGCATTATCAGCAGTTGGGCACTTGTAGTGTTGATACAGCCTTTGATGATAGTTGGAAAGAAGGAAGTGGATAAGAAAGTGTGTGAGTTTCCAACAGATTGTGTGGAAAATGTATTGGATAGGGAAATAGATTTGGAGGAGATTGCATTGTGTGTTAGAAAGTTGAAGAATAACAAGACTGGTGGTAGTGATGGGCTTGTGGGGGAGCTTCTAAAGCATGGTGGGTCAGGGATGGTAGAGTTACTTAACAGTTGTTTACAGTAATTTGGCGTGAGGAGTTTGTGCCACCACAGTGGAGGGAGGGCCTCATAGTTAACTTGTTTAAGAAGGGAGATAAGGAGGATCCTGGGAATTATAGGGGCATCACTCTGCTGAGTGTGGTTGGGAAGGTCTTTTGTAACAATAGGTTGGTGAAGCATCTGGACGAGGGCAAAGCATTGCATGAGGGCCAGGCTGGTTTTAGGGT